AAGAAAATAAAAGAAAGAAGAAAGAGGAAATATCGAAGAAAAAGCATCAAAGTCATTGTACGCCACTGCCTTCTTCCCCATCATCTTAGCTGATTGTTCTCAAGTCTCGAAAACAGCTTCTCGTTCTCGTCTCTGAATTCTCGTGTTTGCCCAGCGTGGTTTGGCATTTGAGATCTGGTAAGTGACTGCGTTTTTCTGCTCTTTAATGGCTTTCAAAAGCTCTGGGAAATTCTTTAGTATTTTGGTAGAGAGGCTTAAACTATAACAATTGTACCTTTCAAGTTCATTGATTTTTGCTTGTATGTTGTATTGTTTGTTTGGTTATAAAATCCATCCAAAATACTTAAGAGATAAGTGAGACTCTTGGCTGTTTTATATTGGACGCTTGACATTGTATCTATTTCATGTTGCTTACTTTTCTCTTTTCCGTCAACTAATATGTATAATTTGATAGCTACTCAAACAATTTCTTGAGTGATTTCTATCTATTGTTCGTGAATTTGATATGGTTAATAAGATCGGGTGTAGCAGTATTTGATTTTCTGTGTAACAGAGAGCGGTGATAAAGGAGAAAGGGAAAACTCACGAGATGGAAACATAATAATAAGAAATAATGTAATATTTGAGAAAACACTGTTCTTTTTTTTTTCCTTTAATTCCTCCTTTTATTCCTTCTTCCCTTCTCTTTCAACACTTCTGTTTTTCCTTTGTCTCAGAATTTAGTTGCTTGCTCGATCTTTCTCTGTCTCCAAGCATGATTCCTGGCTTTGTCACCAACGTCATCCTCCCCCGTATTATAGATAACTTGGGTGATAAGTTGGGTGATAAGTTGTTTGACAAGTTGGGTGACGGAGTGATTTCACGTGCTCGTAGATGGTGGACAGCTTCAGATTCTTCTGATTACGAGGCGCAGCGGACGAAACTTAGAGACTCCCTCAAGTTTATCCAGTCTATGATCAATGATGCAGAGCGAAAACAGGGAAAAGAAAGTGATGACTCTGTAAGGCTGTGGTTACGAGATCTCCAAAGGCTAGCTTATGATGCTGAGGATGTGGTGGACGAGTGTGATTATGAGCATCTTCGCTGCCGTGTTGAGACTTCTGGGGAGAAGAGAAAAAGGAGTTCATTCACTTCTGATATTCTTGACAAAATAAAAGATATTAATGTGCGCTTCGATGAATTAAAGGAGCGTGCATGTGTGCTTAATCTGGAGTCACGCGAAGTTCGTCCAACAGCCATGCAATTACTCAAGACAGACTCTCTGCTTGGTGATTCAAAAGTTTTTGGAAGGGGAGATGATATTAAGAGAATTCTTGGCATCCTGGATGACTTGAGGGAGAAACAGTATCTAGTTTCTGGCATTTCAATAGTTGGCATGGGGGGCCTTGGAAAGACAACAGTAGCAAGATCAATATACAAGAAGGCAAAGGAAGAAAAGCACTATGATCTTGTAGCCTGGGTGTGTGTCTCTGAAGACTTCAATGAGGAAACAATTTTGAGAGAGATGCATGAACATTTTAAGGGTGGTGTCCCTCCACGCAGCATCAATGTACTGGTTGAAGGTCTTGCCAAGGAGTTAGAGAAGAAGACTTTTCTTCTCGTTCTTGATGACGTGTGGAATAAAGATGGATCGAGGTGGAATGCTTTCAGCAATCGTCTCTCAAGAATTCTGAAGATAACTAGGAATTCTATTTTGGTGACAACTCGTGATGAAGACGTAGCATCTA